TGAAGAAACTTATGCACCGGTTGCACGTTTAGAAGCTATTCGTTTATTGCTTGCATTTGCATCTACAATGGATTTTAAACTTTATCAAATGGATGTTAAAAGTGCCTTCCTTAATGGTATCATTCAAGAGGAAGTGTATGTCGAACAACCCCCGGGTTTCGAAGACTATGAGTTTCCCGAACATGTCTTCAAACTCAAAAAGGCGCTTTATTGTCTCAAACAAGCACCTCGTGCTTGGTATGAACGGTTAAGCAAATTTCTTTTGGACCATTAGTTCAAACAGGGTCAAGTCGACACTACTCTTTTTATCAAGAAAGATAACCAAGACATCCTTTTGGTTCAAGTTTACGTAGATGATATCATATTCGGTGCTACTAACGAGGTTTTGTGCAGGGATTTTTCCGATATGATGCAAAGTGAATTTGAAATGTCAATGATGGGAGTATTAAAGTTCTTCCTTGGGCTGCAAATTAGACAATGCAAAGAAGGAACATTCGTGTGTCAAACAAAATATTGTAGGGAATTGCTTAAAAGGTTCGATGTTACCGAATCCAAATCCATTGACACACCAATGAGCACCTTTTGCTATCTCGACAAGGACGAAAAAGGTAAAGATGTTGACATCAAGCGCTACCGAGGTATGATCGGCTCTTTACTTTATCTTACCCCGAGTAGACCGGATATCATGTACTCCGTTTGTATATGCGCTAGGTATCAATCATGTCCTAAAGAGTCGCACTTGGTTGCGATCAAAAGGATAATGCGATATCTCGCGGGCACGTTGAATGTAGGTCTTTGGTATCCCAAAGGTTCAACATGTCATCTTGTTGGCTATTCCGACTCGGATTTTGCAGGTTGCAAACTCGATAGGAAAAGTACTAGCGGTACTTGCCACTTATTCGGTCATTCGCTAATCTCGTGGTTTAGTAAGAAGCAGGTTAGTGTTGCACTTTCCACCACCGAAGCGGAATATGTCGCTGCGGGAAGTTGTTGTGCCCAAATTCTTTGGCTAAAACAACAACTAGTGGATTTCGGCCTTATACTTGATCACATCCCTATTAGGTATGACAATATGAGCGCTATTAGTCTAACGAAGAACCCCGTTCTTCACTCGAGGACTAAGCACATAGAAATTAGGCATCACTTCATACGAGATCACGTCCAAAAGGGAGATGTCACAATTGAGTTTATTGAAACGAAACATCAATTGGCAGACATTTTCACGAAACCCCTTAGTAGGGAGAGTTTCTTCCACATTCGGAACGAACTTGGAATTTTGGATATCTTTATGAACTAATCCATTCTTTTTATTGACTATACTAATTTGAGCGTCGGAGGCGCGATAAATTCTTTTTTGCAGGGCTTTTATTGTAGGTATCTCTTCCCTTGGTATTCAACCGAATTGGACTTGATGTTTTTTTTCTATCAAACAAGTTTTAATCGATTACTCCTCGAAGAGAAATCGATTAGTCGCCTTTGTCCCTCTTAATCGATTACTTGACTTTTGTTAATCGATTAAAATCCGAAACTTTTTGCTCTGCGTCACTTTAATCGATTAATGTAATTAATCGATTAGACTCATCTGTCCATCTTAATCGATTAACCACGTTCGCTTAATCGATTAATAGCTTGAAACGCAAACGTTTGGTTCAGCTCCAATTTTAATCGATTAAAATGTTTCATTTAATCGATTTTGCCTCGGCTGTGTTCCTTAATCGATTAAATACTTTCTTTTAATCGATTAATTTTCGATTTATGCCCTATATCCAGCCCAGGCTTCGTCTTCTTCGCCATTCTTCTGTTAAGAAATCAGAAACCCTAACACCTTCTCTTCTCTAATCTTTCTCAAATTTCTTCCATCTTCTCACCAATCTTCTCACCTAATCCTATCAATTTCAAAGAGGAAGGATGCCAAGGTGCAAGAACGCTTCCTCGGGTCAAGAAACCGCGGCAGAGGAGAATAAGAGGCCATGGCGTCGTGAAGGGAGCAAGTACGTTCACATACAAATGGGTCTCGCCTTCAACACTGGGGCTTCAGTCGAGAGGTTCCACAACACCTTCCTGATGAAGGAGATTGTCTCTCCTAAGATTGTGAACAAGGACCTCTTCAAATCGGCGACCTATGCCCCGAGTAAGTCTCTGTTTCTTCAGCAAGGTTTGCTTCGTTTCATTCATTTGACGTATGAATTCTTTTGTCCAAATCTTATACGTCAATTTTATGCAAATCTTCGTACCACTAAGGGAGGTTCGCCATCTCTCATTTTATGCAAAACCGTTTTCATTGACGGTGTCGGTTTGACTTCTTTGTTTGGCCTTCGTCACGGTGAAATTAACGAAAACTTGGATGAAACATTCCAAGATGAAGCAATTTGGCGACAACTCGGGTTAGATCATCGTGACCTCAAGTTTAGAAATTCTAGCAACCCGAGTGTCATTAATCTCACTTTAATTCAACGCGTCCAACAATACATCTTCTCATATGTTTTGTTGCCCCGTGATTGGGTTCACTTCTTTATCGTTGCACTTAGCGATGGCACTCGTTTTTCCCATCTCCGTTTTGCCATCCCCATTATGCATATCCTTGCTCATTGCAAAATAGACTTTACTCGGGACACTCAGGTGCCGGTCAAGAAGACGTGTTTCATCACTGAAGCCAAGTTTTCCCGAATCGTGTATCGAGAGGAGGGCGATCCTGCACCAAATATGGACCTGATAGTCGCCGAAGAAGAAGAAGAGAGCCAAAACGAGACTCAAGCCGGAGGAAGTCGAGCCACGGAGCGCGTCACTCGTCAACGGAGGACTCGTCCAAGAGAAGAAGCACCGAAACCTTCTTGGGTGAAGAAGATCTTCGATACTCTCACATGAATCCGAGATGACGTTCGCCAGCTCAACAAGAGGATGACTCGTCTTGAGCAATCTCGCTCCTACCGTGGCCCGCGTCACACTTTTGGCGGAGGAGCTCGTCCGGCGAACTCTCTTTGATTGTTATTTCCTTTTCCTCTTGACTGATTATGATACATTGTTATTTGTTATGACTCTTTTGGTGGATGATGATGTTTCCTTTCGATGATGCTAGTTGATATTAACTGCTTGTGTATTAATATCATTGTTGGTTTGGCAATATTGTTCTTATTTAGAACATATTGTCCCTTTGTGGCATTTTTTTTAAGAGTTCTCTTTTAAAGAAAACTCTTGCCTTTTTTTTCCTTCAATATCCTGGCATAGTTTAAGGGGGAAGGTTATCGGTTGATAATGCCAAAAGGGGGAAGGAAGGATAGTTGAGAATTTTTTTTTTCGCTTATTACTCCGATGATTACTTACTTCTCTAACCTTGCAGGGGGAATTATTCTTAAAAGGAAGTAATTTCTGAACTCTTACTTTGCTCTTTCTCAACTATGTTTGTCATTATCAAAAAGCGGGAAATTGTTGGACATGAGTTCAAACCCCTTTTCTATTTCTTCTGAAATATTTTTTTTTTGTTTTGATGAATGACAAACAGGATGATTAATTTCAAGCTGATCGAAAATTTATTTTCGTATTGAGAAAAGCAAAGAAGGGTATGAAGAAGTTTACGGCGACATAAATCGACGACCACCCCTACGCAGATTTTTTTGAAGTGAAGTGAAGACTCTGAAGAATTTTTTAAGTCTAGGAATATTTGTAAGGATGACAATATCTTCTGCACAAACAAATTAAATTTCTGAGGGATAAAATCATTATTTTTGAGTTAGTTGAAAAATTACTTTTCCTCTGTCTAAAATATTTTATTGAGTTAGTTTCAAAATAAGTGTGTCAAAATTTCTTAAAAACATTCTTTTAAGATTACACAATTTTTAATTAAGAAAAATATACTTTAAATATTTTTCGTATACATCGTTTGACACACAAAATAATTTTTGGACTCACTTTTTCTTTCCTATTCAAAATCATTGAATAAGGGATATTATTTTTGAGGAGCGTTCTTGTTATTCTCGTTGTCTCAAACAACGAATATAAAGCCAATGCCCTTCTCATTGTTGGGTAGGCAATATTGTTCTTGTTTAGAACATATTGTCCCTTTGTGGCATTTTTTTTACTGAGAGTTCTCTTTTAAAGAAAACTCTTGCCATTTTTTTTTTACTTTCCTTCAAATATCCCGGCATTGTTTAAGGGGGAAGCATATCGGTTGATAATGCCAAAAGGAGGAAGGAAGGATAGTTGAGAAATTTTTTTTAAATCGTTTTTTCCACTTATAACTCTGACTATTTTTAACTGCACTTCTCTAACCTTGCAGGGGAAATCAATTTAAGAGAAGTATTTCCTGATCTCACACTTTGTTTTCTCTCAACTATGTTTGTCATTATCAAAAAGGGGGAAATTGTTAGACATGAGTTCAAACCCCTTTATTATTGTTCGGAATATTTTTTTGTTTTGATAAATGACAAACAGGATGATTAAATCGATATTTGAAAATTTATTTTTCGTATCGAGAAAAGCAAAGAAGGGTATCAAGAAGTTTACGGCGATAAAAATCAACGATCACCCCTACGCAGATTTCTTTTGAAGTGAAGTGAAGACTCCGAAGACTTTTTAATTTTTATTGAGTCTAGGATTCTTGTAAGGATGACAATAATTTTTGCACAAACAAATTAATTTTTGAGGGATAAAAATTATTATTTTGAGTCAGTTGAAAAATTATTTTTTCTCTGTCTAAAAATATTTTACTGAGTCAGTTTCAAAAATAAGTGTGTCAAAATTTCTTAAAGATTACACAATTTTTTTTTGGTAAGAAAAATATACTTTAAAGATTTTTCTTGTACATCGTTTGACACACAAAATATTTTTGGGACTCAATTTCTACATAAAAATTCATTATTTAATTCAAATTTTGAATTTGAATTAAATCTTTTCAACTCATTTGATTTGTTTGTTTATGGGAGCCTTATCATGTTCAAATTGTTGCCTAAAACAATACCTTAAGCTCCAATTGTACTCCCCACTCGCACACATGCTTTGGGTCCTCCTTGTTTGGCCATTGTTCGTTAGTGATTCGAGCCTGGATCGATCCAAGTGAATGGATCGATCATATATTTTTCCCAAATTGATTCGTAGGATCGATCCTTGAGTGTGGATCGATCCCCCGTAGCCTTGCAAAAATCCGTCCCCTGAATTTTGGTTCCAGAGGATCGATCCCCTGCCTTGGATCGATCCCCCGTGCTTTTAACACAAATTTATTTTCGGAAGTTTACTCCAGATGATCGATCCTTTGCCCTGGATCGATCCCCAACGGTCCAATCTGTCAAAAACACTTCATCCCTACCTCCAACGGATTTATTTCTTTTTCCCCTATAAAAACACTCATCCTCCCTCATTAAAAACACATCTCTTGCACTCCAAAATATTCTTTGAGCTAAATTCATCCTTTGCTTCATCTTCCTCATCAAAATATTATTTTTTGAGAGTTAGAAATATTTTCTTTGAGTGCTTAAGAAGTTGTCTTCCATAGACCTTTAATTCTTCAACACTACTTTGCTCAATTGTGTGAGCTTTCATTCTTGTGTTGTAAACTCAATCTCTTTTGAGTATTGTTCTTAAGACTTGTGTGACTCAAGTCTTGTTGTTGTAAGCAAGTGAGGCTTGTGTGATTCAAGTTCTCAAGTTGTACCGGTTTTTCAAGCACCCGTTGAAGCTTGAAGATTAGTAGGACTTTCGAGAGAGTCTCTCGAAGGACTGGACTAGCCACGAGGTGGTGAACCAGTATAAATCTCGGTGTTCTTCTTTCCCTTACTCTCTTTATTTATTCCTGCGATTTTATTATTTCACACACGCGAAAAACTCACATTCTTGAAAACAACTCTATTCACCCCCCCTCTAGAGTTGCACATTTGTCTTACAGGCCCGAACAGCGATGTTCAAGTATTGAACATCGATGTAGGAACCTGACCGTTGGAAGGAATTTATGGCTAAAATATTCCATGTTTGGAAGTCAACAGCCAAAACAGCGATGTAGCCCTTTCAAAAACTAAGCCTAGAACAGCGATGTCCAAGCCATGGACAGCGTTGTCTGGCTGATTTTTAGCAGATCCAATTTTAATCAAAGCCCACAAATTGTTCCAATCAGCTCCATTCAACTCCTACCCGTTGGAGCCTATTTTTCTACTATAAAATGAGGTGTTTGGGTCTGCTTTACACATCACATTACTTCACAACTCTTATTTTTCATTGCATTACATTCATACATTATTCATAGCTTTTCTCTTAGATATCCGGGAGCATCCACGAAGACTTTCCGTAGCTCACAAAAGGAAAGGCGAATCAGGAAAATAATGTCGATGTGTTGCGACGTTATTTGGGTTAAATCCACTCCGTTGTCCTATCTCAAAGCCCACACCGACACCGTGGTCGTCTTACACCCCCTAGGCCGAACCAACACCCCACCCAACCCTGAAGATCCAAAAACATTTCCTTTTCAAAATAAAGTTTTTCCTACTCTTATTTTAGCCCCTGGCCAAAATAAGATTGTACAAACCAAAACCTTTTGTTTGTTGTTATTTTCCTTCTTTTAAGTCTTACCAATAAACAAATAAAATCCTCTCTCCTTCCTTTTATTTCCTGGCCAATTAAACCTCATAATCCCAACATAAACACCCATAAAAAGCCAAAACCATGACCCACCTCCAGCCTCTACTTCCTACCCATGTTTCCCTTACAATAACCCAAACCCATAAGTCCAAAACACCCATGACATCCCTGCCTCGTTTTATAGACCAAAAACAACCCCTCATCTTCACCCAAAATAATGCCCACAAAACCCAGGAAACAACCACTACAAACCCAAAACTCAAAGCCCCACAACCCCAACCCCATTCCTAATTTTAATCCACTTTGGAGACAGGATTGAATAAGTGTTACCCCATGCTTTGGAAGTGGATGTTGCTAGGAAGCTTCCTCATATTCACATTCATTGCATTATGTATTAATTCCCCCTTCCCCTCTCCCTATACAACGTAGCTCTAGGGCAATATGCAGGGACATCTTTGAGTATTGAAAATCTTTTACTCTTTGAGTATTATTAATGTAACACCCACCTTCCGTGGACCCGGTTCACCTGCGACCCAACGGACCGGTAGGGTTACATGGGCAGTCCGAGAACCGTTCGTAGTGGGAAAACATTAATGCTCATTTATTATGAAAACGGTTAGGTTTAATTAGTGAAATAAATAATAGGGTGTTACACCCAAAACGTGCGTGATATAAATGTAGAGTAAAAGCGGAAGTAATTAAATAAGTCCAGTCCAGAATAAATAAAACGATAAGGGTGGGTTAATGCCCAAATGACTAATTAATTAAATATAAATATAATATTAAACTCGTCTGCGCCATCCATCCTCCCACCATCACTGCCCTCCAGGGTTAGCACCTGCACCGTCATGTCTACCTACGTGTAGCAAAAACAACTACACGTTCAGCAAAAGCTGAGGAGTAAATCTAACAAAACAACATAAAGTGATAACCTATATGGTTACATACATATTAGTACCTGTACTTAACGTACGGGAAAACTACATGTTTACTAACTGTTCGGACTGCACTTGGTGGGATATTATTACGCATAACAAAATGATATACAACGCATTGAATATTGACGTGATGAGGAACATACATGATGATGACTTGATGAATGACTTAAACTATCAGGGACACCCCTAGCTTAGCCTCACTTGACAGGATCACCCCTGCACTCCGGTTGTCATACCGAAGCGGTAATGAGCCGGGAACAAGTGGACTAGCAAAACCGGGTAGTAGCCGTAACCTGACTACTATGTACGTACATAAAGCGCACCTGATGAAAACCCGTTGGATCCCAAAGGTGTTGGAACACACTTTGTACGATAAACTAAAGTCGTGTTCATTTCTGACAGGTTTTGATAATTGCCAAACCGCCGTGGATATAAAGAGTTTCGTTGAATAACTCAAGGCGTGAAGAATTGCTTGGAACCAGACCAAAAAGACTCAAGGACAAGATCAAGAATTGAAGACTTAGTCAAGTCGGTCTTTTGTGATCAAAACCGACAATAAATTCAAGTCTCGGTTCTCAAAAAGTCAAAACAATTTTTACAAATCATAAAATATTTTTGTGCATCAAAACAAACATTTTTGATGATTTCTTTTATTGTTAAAATCTTTGGTCCTTGCTCAGAACCGAAACCACCTAAGTCGGCGTTCGACTTTCGACGTTCGGCTTTCGGCTTTCGGTTTTTAGCGCCTAAACCAACCCTATGGTTTTCAATATTTTAAACCCTGTTTTTACCTTTGAGCATTTTTAAAATATTCCCAAATAATTATTTTATAAAAACCACTTTTGTATTTTGGTCAATCGGTCTAACACGTGAAAAACGGTCAAAAACCGTACGCACGTATTGTACGACCTTGGAGACTTGGTTTTTACCAAACAAGTCTTGTTTTCACTATTTTATACTATATACAATATTTTTCAAACCTGGTTTCTACTTTTGGGAACACTTCGTTTTTGGACCTCGGTTCTTCAAAACGGGTTTCAGCTGGCTAGACTTTAGCTGGGTGATAATCGATTATCACCTTACTGACAATCGACTATCAAAGGTGTTGAGGCTTGTGTGACTCGGGTTCTCAAGTTGTATCGGTTTGTTAAGCACCCTTAAGCTTAACGGAGTTAGTGTAGCTCGAGAGAGTCTCTTGGGGGGCTGGATTAGCCACAAGTTGGGGTGAACCAGTTGTGGTGAACCAGGATAAAATTCGGTGTGCTCCTTCCTTAAGCTCTTTACTTCAACGCACTCGTTTTTAATTTCCTGCGATTTTATTTTAAACGCTATTCACCCCCCTCTAGCGTTAGGCCTTTATTCTAACAATTGGTATCAGAGCCATACTCTCTGAAAGACTTAACCGTTTGAGAGAAACGATCAATGGCTTCTACTCAAAGTTCATACGCAGGTTTAGGTGAAGGGCAATCCACCACGAGGCCTCCATTGTTTGACGGAACAAACTACACCTATTGGAAGGAGCGGATGAGGATTTACATCCAATCCACCAACTTTCTCCTTTGGAGAATTATCAAAAATGGTGAGGACGTGCCAATGAAGAAGGTCGAGGAAACCAACGTCCCTAAGACCGAGGATGAATATGATGC